GCTCCAGTGTGACCAGAAGCTCGCTGTATTTCTAAAGGAGCGAGGTTGCAAGGATTTGGACAGTTTGGCCAGAACAGCTGATCTCTACCTCAAAGCACAAGGACTGACCCGCCTCGCTAGAGGTAAAGAAGAAACTGCACATGTGAAGAGTGGGACACTAACGAAGGGGTCATGAAACACTCAAGAAAAGCCCCACTGATTCATTTGTAACAGGAGAGTACACAGGCCATTCGACTGCTGGTTTAAGTCTACGGGAAGCAGGTCAGCGACCGGTCAGAAAGGAAAGAAACCTGAGGGCTTTTCCAAAACTACGAAGGACCGCAACGAGGCTTCGTGCTCTCTTTCTCAGCCTGACCAAACACCGAGAGAAACCCATCACTGTGAACAACATGGAGGTGTTGCAGATACTGAAGGTTCGAATCCTGGAAAAATTGGTTCGGGGTCGCATATCCTGGTTGGGCCGAGATGTTGAACGGAACGAATGCCTACTGCACAAGGGTGTCTAGAAGGGCAATCCGTCTTTGTACTGAGAGACACCGGTTGCGACACCGTCGTGGTTCGGTGCGCACTCGTTCCAATCAACAAGTTTACCGAGGAAATGCGAACCGTCCATTTATTAGATATTTCCTCCCATCGCCTTCCAGAAGTGAGAGTGCAGATAAACTGCCCCTTTTTCAAGGGCATTGTGGTTGCCATATGCATGGAGCAACCACTCTATGATGTGCTAGGTAATATCCCCGGTGTGTGGCCCTCTCTCGTACTGCCTGAAGGCAGAGCCGACTCAAAGAAGTTGACTGCACTCGATTCATGAGAAAGAATCGATGATGGCACGCATGTTGAGGTCAATGCTTAGTATGTATGCTACCGTGACCTGGCTGCTGTGTCATGATCTACTTCACGAAAAGTGGCCCAGTTATTAGTTTCCATCACCAGCCTATTAGACGTTGATCCCGAAGCATTGGCGACGTTGCAGAAGGATGATCGAAGTCTCTGCGGTTGCTTTGCGGACGTGGGCAAGACCAGAACGACGTGATCTACCACTGCCACCTTTGTCCTCATCAACGACCTTCTCTTCAGGCGTTACAAATCCGCCACAAACAGAGAAGTGGATCAACTCGTTCCGAAGGACCTTCAGGCACCCGTCTTGAAGATCGCACACGAAGGTATCCTTTCCGGACACCAAGGGACAAAGAGAACGGCTGACAAGATTTCCAAATAGTTTTATTGGCCTGGTATGCAAGCTGGTGTCACGCACTACGTAAAGTCATGCGACATTTGCCAGAGGACCTTTCCAAAGCACTTAGTAGGATGGGTACCTCTTGGAAACATGCCAATCATCAATATGCCTTTCCAGCGTGTCGCTATCGACATCATCGATCCGCTGCCACCTAGATCGGCCAATGGTAATCGATATGCTCTCACAATGGTAGACTTTGCAACGCGTTACCGCGACGCGATTGCCCTGCCCCGTATTGAAACTGAAAGGGTCACTGAGGTGTTGCTTGAGATGTTTTCTCCCGTGGGAATTCCACGAGAAATTGTCTCTGATCGAGGTGCCCAATTCACCTCGCAGCTTATGCAGAAGCTAAGTTGCCCGCTTTCCTTTAAACACCTACTGACGACCCCTTATCATCCAATGGCAAACAGCCTAGTGGAACGTTTTAATGAAATGTTAAAACAAATGATCCAAAAAATGTGCCAAGAGAGCCCCAAAATTCGGATCGGTACTTGGCTCCTCTTTTGTTCACATGCCGAGAAGTTTCACAGAGGAGCTTGGGCTTCTCCCCTTTTGATCTTCTGTACGGTCGCTGCGTCAGAGGCCTCATGGCCATTTTCAAAGAGCTCGGGTCAAGAAGGCATTTAGATCAAAAGACAAAGATGGCCTATGGCTGCGTTGTTGAGCTGCAAGAACGGCTGCACGAGACGTGCCAACTCGCTCATGAGATGCTTCGAAGATCGAAGGCTACCCAGAAGCAGTACTATGGCCACAAGGCGAAGGCACAGTACCTTTTCGTAGGAGACAAATTGCTCCTTTTACTATTTTCCGATAACAACAAGCTCATCTTGACGTGAAAAGGACCTGTCATCATAACTGAGAAGAGGAGCGACAGTGACTTTGTTATAGACCTTGGTACGCGCCAAAGTACTTTTCATATAAACCTACTCAGAAAGTACGAAGAGAGTGATTTGGGCGACTCACCATCGCCAGCAGAACACCAAGCTGCTCCGCTTTCAGCCCGCACGAACACGGTGAAAAGCATGATCCTCCATTTATTGTACTGAAGCGGAAAGAAACATTCCAGGACATGGAAATCGACACGGACCTCACAATGGAACAAAAAATCCGAAGCGATGGAAATGTTACATGCATTTTAAGACATATTCTCAGATGTCCCTGGAAAGACACATCTCATAAAGTGCCAGCCAAGACTTACCACGGAAACGCCGATGCACGTCCGTCAGTATCCAGTACATTTTGCAGTCGAAAAAGCTACAAAGCGTGAAGTCCAAGAAATGCTCAAGCAAGGCATCATTGAACTTTCACACTCACCATACCAAGCACCGGTGGTCGTAGTGAAGAAAAGAGATGGCAGCATGCGGTTGTGCATTGATTTCAGGCAATTAAATCGAGTGTCATATTGGACAGTGAGCTGATACCAAGCGGAGACATGATGTTCGCTAAGCTGGGCAAGAGTTGTCACTTCTCTAAGTTCGACTTCACCAAAGGGTATTGGCAAGTGCCCATGCAGTCAGAGAGCAAACATATGACCGCCTTCCAGTCATCATCAGACCTTTATCAGTTTCGATTCATGCCATTCGGCATAAAGATCGCACCAGCTGTTTTCATCCGGCTGATGAGGAATATAGTACACGGTATCCCCAATATCTACCGCTACTTTGATGACGTCCTAACTGCCACAGAAACATGGGAGGAACATGTTGAAAAAAGGAACTTTTTGTTATTTGTTTGTTGTTTGTTTTTTGTTGTTGTTTTGTTGAAAGAAGAGAACCTTTTGCGGTTAGACAAGTCACAGAGGTGGAAAGGGCAGGAAGAAAATTGACATCATTGATGAATTCGGTGTTGCTTGCAGCTCGCTATCCACAATTGTGAAGAACAAGGCCTCTATTCTTGGTATGCTTGAAAATGGCGAGAGCGCGAGAAAAAAAAAAACGGGACGGCTTTGCTTCCTGCGACCCCGAAGAATGTGTTGAATGCCTGGACAATATTTGCACATTTTTCGGCGAGTACAATGACGACGTGGCAAATGAACCACTTTTAGCAATGCAAGTCAAGAGATATGACATCGCTGTGGGGAAAGGCTCGGCAAAGTAAGCTTATTGACTTTTGGCAATTAAATGTGTTTTTAGTAAATTCCCTGCCTTTCCTGCCACATTCTCGTGCCAACGAAATTCCTGCAGGAGCGAAATTTCTTGCTTTCTTCGCCGATTTTGTTATTGCGGGTTTAAACTGTAGGAGAACTTTTAAATGGCACATTAACCTGACTGAGTTGCCACTTGAAAAACACCGCATCCGCAGTAATGATGTCACCCCCATCGCTTCAAACACGCTTGATCCCACGACCTCAAACAATGAGTGTGCATACAGTCGCCGACGAATTTCTCAGACTCCAATAACCGTCAAGATTCTTGTAGCACTAATCCGTTTTTGCAACCGATTTATCGGATAGATTTATGCCATAAGGTTATATTTTCTGGACTAAATCGCTTATTTTGAGCCATCTTGTTCTCTCTGAAAGCCGCCATGCTCGATTTTTTATTGGCATAGTCCAGTTTGGCCTCCAGTGATTAGTTGTGCGGCCTACGAGAGTCAAAGCGCGCACAACCTTCCTGTTTTGGCAGCCGTTCTTTTTTGGCTAGCCAAACTGTCTAGAGGACGCAACTTTTTTTTCACTCAGCCATATTATAATCAATAACACGCCGGGAGGTTGTTTTCTTTTCTGTGCGTATGTTTTTTCACTTGTCATTGTGTGTGTGGTCGTGTTGGCACAGTGTCAAGTGTGTTTGAGCTGTCGTGGGTGTCACATGTACTCTGCTGTCGCAGATTCTGAATAGCACTCAATGGCTACGGTGCTTGGCTGCTGACCTGAAACGTGCGGGTTCGATCGTGGACCCGGCTGTAGTTTTTTTATGGAGGCGAACTGCTGGAGGGTTGCATACTGTGGGTGAAGGGCCAGCTAAAGAAACCCAACACTTTAAATCGTCAAATCCCACCACACAAGCGAGATGTTGCATGCATTTTTTTTTGCGACCAGCATCAAGTTTTGTTTGCTTGGTGCCATGGAACCACCACCTGTGCTGACAGCAATGATCGGTGGCAGTGATGACCAATGCGTTGCCGATGCTACTGTAGCCCAACACAACAAAGCCTGCTCATCCACAAACACGGCTTGAAGCATGGCATTATCGGGGATTTCTTCCAGCTTCTCAAATCCAAATAAACTTCATTTTCATGTCTTGATCATTTTTTCAGGCTGTTAAATTTTTAAAACTATTTTTAAATCCCCGCCAGGTCTACAGAATCGATCCACGACTGTATACACACAAACCTCGATATAACGAACATAAATTTAACTAATTATAATTTACAGCTAAGTAAGTGAAGAATAGTTTTGTCATAGATACACTGTTCCAAATGTATGTCTATAAAGAATTTTTGAATACAGTCGAACCCCTTTAACAGAAATACTGATATATGAGACACTAGTGTGCCTACAGTAAAATACGGGTTTATAAGAAACCGCATACCAGGCCCTCCAATTATAAGAGACATCTCATATAGAAGACACGAACTGCAGCCTAAAGCATGGCTCTTATAGAGGGGTTTAACTGTATAACAACGTATCTCTGTGGCAATGCGATTTTGTTATGACGAGGTTTGAGTGTAGCCACTAACTATAAATGCAGATAATGATTGGAATTTACTGCAAACCAAGGAATGTACATACGCACCACTTCGTTCAAAATTATCAAGACAATACCTTGACAGATCTCACGTCCATGAGGACCGCGAAGTTTGTGAGGTGGTCACAAGCACACACAGTGTGAGTCGCATTGGAAGCTTCCACCCAACAGCCATGCTGAGACCAATCCCTGAAAAAAATTATTACAACAGTGCGCTATCAATACAGTTAAACCTATTTATAACGAAATTAATAAATTTCCAAAAAAAATTCGTTATAAAGAGGTTTTCGTTATATGCAGGTGTGATACGAAAATTAAAAAAATAACGTGCAAATAAACAAAAGGGGGAGTGAAGGCAGATCTAACCCAAACACTGATTTTACAGTAAAAAAACAGTTATTATTGCGATAGCAATTGTATGAACACTCGTTTCTGCCGTTGCTGCCATGTTCCAAAGCAAGTATAAATTGATAACGTGCCCCTGCGCATTGTTACTTTCACGAGCGGCTGAAAGCGCGCGAGTGCTGCTGAAGCAGAGATCAAAGGAGTCAGCCTATCAGTATCGCCAGAAAAGTGCATAACATCTCCCGTGCGTTAGAACTGGCGTCGAATGCTCAAACAGAAAGTAGGCCACTTGTTTTGAACGAGCATGAAACAACGTGTGGAGGGAAGGGCGGGGGGCGGATCGCTCGAGTAGCAATAATGGACTTATATTATAAGTGCAGTCGCAATAGCTGGCGAGCTTGCTATCTCAGCGAGTATTGGTGCAGTTTCAACGCGAAGGAACTGTGTGAAAAGAAAAGCGCACCTCTCCCTAAAGCGGCCGTATTCACTCACACCAGCATTGTAAGAGTTCCGCAATATCGGATCCAAAAGAGTGGGCTGCCAGCCTTACTTCTTATAACATTACAATTTCTTGCTATCTCGTTCATTGCATTGCAGTCAACGTGTTGTCGTGTTGCCAGAACCACGATCGCAAGATAAAAAACCACGGCCAGCGGTCAAGCCCGAACTAATAAGCTGATCTCGAAAGCTACAAGCCTGCAAACTCGCGGCGCAAGACGGAAGCGCATGACGAGTCGACCTCCGAAGATTTGTTGTCCCCGTAGTCTCAGAGTCTTCATCAACACCTAATCTGACATCCTCTCAGTGGTGACCACACTGTTGTCCAAAATTAGGACAAGTCACACTTTCGCCACAAGGGCAAAGCAATGAATATGATAGCAACAACTTGGAATGTGATGAGAACGGCAAGCAGATCGAAACGTGCAGCGCCCTGTTAACGCGCAAAAGACGCACGAAAACAACATACACAGGACGAGAGCGAGCTAGCAATGTTTACCGCTCCACACTTAATGCGCTGTTTAAACAAACACTAGGCACAAAACGTAATGACAGGTACACATATGAGTGCGAACTAACAAGTGCCGTAGTTGTTACTTCGCTGTGTTTGAAAAGCACACTTTTTTCGCAAACCGCGCCTCTCTAGCCAGCGAAGTGATCATTAGTTGCGCCCGGCAACTAAACGCAATCGTTCTGGTCAAAGTTGAAGGCGCGCGATTCTCTCCACCCAAGGTTAAGCACACGCACACAAGAATGTAAACACCCCCCTCCCTCCTTCGCAGAGCGAAGTAAGCGTGGGAGACAAGCATGTGTCGGCGCATCCTGACGAGCTGGGCGCCGAGCGCGGGTGGCTTTTTTTTTCTTGAGTATATATATATATAAATACATATACATATACAATGAATGACAGCAGAGGCGACGGCAAAAAAGCAGACGAGACTGTCCATATAATTTCTATTGCAATACAAAAAAAAGCAAAGCTGAACGTCGTCGGGGGCTACACCATGTACGCAGTGAAACTTTGCACACGCACAAGTGTGAAAAACGAAGAGCGAACGACATAGACAGACACAGATACGACAGAAAACTATTCGGTAAAGTGCCCTCCATATGCAGCACAGCCCCACATATGTGATGCTAAATAAAATCGTGGCACTGCAAAAGTAGTTTTTTTTTTTTCTGATTTTGGTTTGGAGGAAGAAGGGGCCACACATGCGCATGCGGATGTGGCGGCGAGAACGGTGGCAACACCGGTTCGTGGGGAGCAGGCCCACCTGTCTGCCCTTGCTCCCACCTAGTGCGCAGTGTGCGCCACTGCCGCTTCGCGCTTTGTTGGCGGGGCAGCCGCGGAAGATGCATGCACGAACCAAAATGCGAAGGAAAATTTCTAGGTTGTCTGTGGGGAAAATTCGTTTTATCAAGGTTGTCTCGCACTGTTAGTTTGTTACATAGAGGTTACAAATACATGTGCTTCTATCAAGCAACGACGGGAATAGAAAAACTTCGTTATATGGAGAAATTCATTATATTGAGGTTCGTTATAAGCAGGTTCAACTGTACATGCATACAATATAGAATGCTGGGCTGCTAAGTATCGAAAACACGTTTTTAGGCTGTCAAAAAACTATGAGTGTAATAACATTGTAATATAGAAATACAGTATTTAATTTGACAGTCATGCTTTAGTTTTTCTTTATACTCAGTGACAATTTTTCTTGCATTGGAGTGAAGGCTATGGAGGTGGTGCTTAGGCATGTTCGCATTGCTCTGCAAGTAGTAGGCAGCTCGCGGCTGACTGCGGTTCTCTTTACTCGCATCATTAACCTGCTTAAAAAACATTCACACAAAAAAATGCGAATGGGGAAGACATTTCCATGGTTTAGTGTTCAATTAGGCAGCATCATAATACGAGCATATTTTTTTTAGAACTAAACAGTGCATTAGTGGCCACACTGACGCACAATGACATGATGCCCCGCCACAATGATCTAGTGGCTAACATACTCGGCAGCTGACCTGCAGGTCGCGGGATCGAATCCCGGCTGTGGCGGCTGTGGCGGCTGTATTTCTAATGGAGGCGAGAATGCTGTAGGCCCGTGTGCTCAGATATGGGTGCACGTCAAAGAATACCAGGTGGTCGAAATGTCCGGAGCCCTCTACTACAGCGTCTCTCATAATCATATGGTGGTCTTGGGATATTAAACCCCACATATCAATCAATCAGGTCAACTACGTCATGGGCGCCATGTTTACCTTGAAAAATGAACATGCTGGAAAGGTGGAGCCACGTAAAAAATGGAAAGAAAAAGAATGCATTATTACAAAGCCTACAATAGTAGTATTTCACCTATGACTTCCCACAGCTGCATGAGTCACATAATAAATAAAGCAGCATTTATTTCACCAAGACAAATGAAATAATTATTGGTAAGGATTATATCTTGGCACAATAGCAGGCATGCACTTCGGTTAGCAACTTCCAAAGTGCTGTGAAGAAAAGTTGTCACTTAGTGTGCGCACCATGGTGCATGTAAACTTAATGTGAGAATGTAGATGCGGCCCCTGACCAAGTCAAGGTGAAAAAACACAGGGACGTTTGAGAACCCATACGGGTTCCTTGTTCACACTGAGCGTGAACCCATATGGGTCCCAAAACGTGTCTGATTTTTCTCCTTGGCTTGGTTAGTGCAATAATGCAAACATTATCTACATGATTGAATCTTCGTATTGTCATAAAAAAGTACATTAGAGAAACAGGACAGCCTGCTAATGTTCGATTAGCTAGCTGCCCATTGTGTGGACATGCCAAAGGAATTGCTCAAAGCAGTGGCACGGCATTTTAATGCAGCAGGACGCAGCTTTGATGATCTCGAATTCTACATACTTCAGTCAAACATCCGGTCTACAAGAGACAGCAAATGAAGTAATACCTCTTTAACTCAAACTCACATATCTCGAAAAATTAGCTAAGTTGAAATTTTCTGCGCCACCAAATATTTTTTTATACGTCCCATGTATATTTTTTCTTTTATCTCAAAAGTACTTTTGGGTCGGATTGTGGATAACTCGAAATCTTGACTGGCAGAGGAACAAAAATTCCACTGCCAGACCATTTCACAAGATTTGTGTGATGCTGCCACGCCTGAAGTTCGTCAATTTTTTTTTTCTTATTTAGCCGCGCCTGCCACAACGTCGATGCTTTCCTCGAACGCGAGGTCTCAGCCCAGTGACATATCAACATGTCAAGCAAACCTGTGGCACATCACGTGACACATGCGCTGAGCAGGGAGGCCTTCTACCCACGCTCGGCGTAGTTTGTCTCATTCACATAGTGCAGTGCACACGATTTTCCCTGAGGTGTGATTTCTGTTCACCTGTGCAAACTACATGGTACGAATTCTTTACCGACAGTGAGCGTAGTGCTCATGATTTTCCCCGAGCTGTGATTTCCGTTCCTCTGCGAAAACTGAGTGGTACGAAGTTTTTGCTGACTATGAGGAGCGGCAACTTAGGATGAGTGCGGCAAGCATGGCATCAAAGCTAACGCTAGAAAAACATGTTGCCCTAATTAAGGAAGCAGAAAAAGGAGGCCAAACGAAATTGCGCAAGAATTCAGCATCCCTTTGTCTATGCTTTTATTGGTGCTGAAAAACAAGCAGAAAGTGCTGAATGGATTTCAGTAGAGCTTCTCCAGCCAGCGAAAGTGGGTTAGAGGTCAAAGTTCACAAACGTTGAAGCAGCGTTGATGGTGTGCCTTTGAAATAAGCTCGAGTGCAACAGCAGAGAAGATTGTCAGATGTGAAGCGTCAAGGATCAGATGAGCATTAGGCAGCTTTTCTTTGCTAAATAAAATGGCAGTGGGACAAAACCGAGCCGGTTAATGTCTCTTGTATATTATTTTTTTCTCTTTTAAACCTTCACAAGAAGAAAGATTAGAAACTGCAGCTGAAGAGTTGGTAAGTACTAGTAGGAATTTTTGTGAAAAGTGCTCATTTTTCCCGGCGAATAGCACAACTTTGCTCATCTAGAAAAATCCGTTTATCTCCAAATTTTCCTGGTTTTTACGACTTCGATGTGATGAGGTATTATTGTATACAGAGTCATACCTTATTCACAAGTTCAATACGCTCCAACTAGTAAGCATAAACACTTTCTAAAGGGGCTCTTGAATCTATTCGGTATGGTACATACACAATGAAAAGAAATGCGAGTTAAGCTCAGCGTCTAGGACTTTTAAACCTATCATTGTTAACTTCTGACAACCCTGATAGAGCGAAACATATACATCCTCACCTTTCCACCACGTCTTTCTTTTCATTTTATTCATAGAACACTGGTTTCCTCTTCACTCACACAATTCATCACTGACCCCTCCCACACCCAAGTATTCAACGTTGCCCTCACCCTTCCTTTGTTAGGATGGAGATGGTACAAAGCATAGACAAGCTAGCGCTAAAGAAATCAGTTCTGTTCTAGTTTTGAAGAAAACAAGACCGCTTGTTGGAATGTTGATCTTACAGATTTTTTCATCGCAAGCTTTCATCTTCCTCTCCCTGCTGTTTTTTGGATTTCACATTATGGCATTATTGTTGTTGCAACAGACTGTTGAGTGCCTTGAAATAATGTATAAATCTGACACATTTACAGACAGTTCTTTAGAGTTAGCATCTGAAAGGGTTAAACAATTGAACCTCTGAAAAATATTGGCATGTTCAAAGCTAAGAGATATTTTGCGAGATCATAGAAACACTACCACACAATGGAAATTGAGATGGGCAATGTACCTTTTGCTGAAGTCCCAGAAAACACACTGGGGATCGCTGACATTTTCCTCCTAGAATTAAAAGGCAAATATGTCAGACGAGACAAGCAGCTCTGCATTATGGGAGCAAGCATGCCCATTTTATTCTCATTATAATTGCAATACTTTCCACATACTGCTGACTGCAACATCACCTTTGGTACACTAGGAAGGCCTGTTAAGTAAAATATGAACCCTCACACAGGAAGGCATGAAAGAAAGCAGTACTCTTGTCAAATAAACAGAAAATTTGGCAGCAATGACAGATTCAGGAGTATGAATTAATTAATTATTCACCATACTCTCAAGGTATTTTACACAGGGGAGGAGCAAAATAAACTCAAAAACTTAGAGGATGCATCACTGCGACTCTATTGTAGTAGTAGTAGTAGTAGTATTTTTATTTACAGTAAGCCGGATACAGAGCTCACTGCAGGGGCAAAGGGCTAAAGGCGAACAGCCTGACAAAGGCCCTTGTCCCTCCGCAGTCCGTGACAGTGCAAAGCTTAGACATCAGCACTGACAAACAATATATATATTCAATACATTGGTTTCAAGCAACCTGAAATTGTAAACACAAAATTCAAACATAAATAGCATAAGAAGTTTACATAACACATTTTAAGAATTAGAGGTCACTCTCGTTAAAATTCACAACTAAACAATATCAATGAAACAACTCAAAAACAGACACAAAATGCATGCGGATACAATGAATTCCGCTGTATACACTCGTATAATTGACATAGAAGTTTATGAACAATTTAAGCATTTGCAGAGGCATGAGACTCCATTACGTAGTTTCGATAGTGTAGACCGGTGGTTATGAATAAGTTCTTCATTTGTTTCTTGAAAGTCGCTCTACTAGCCCTAAAGTTCAATTGATCTGCAAGGGTATTTAAAACCTGAGGTACCTGGTAAGCAATACTTTGTTTTCCATACTTGGTTCTTGTTCTAGGAGCTCGTTTCTTTTGTTCTCGCAGACTGTAGTGTGGTCTTTCGGTGCAACTTTCTTCATATAGCTTAGTTTTTTGTATTAACTGAAGTAATTTAAAATGATATAATTGATCAATTCTGAGTATGGAATGTTTAATGAATAGTGGAGCAGTGCGCAAGTCTTGTAGATTCCCCCTGTAATTTTCAAAGCAGCGCAATATTTTCTTTTGTATAGTTATTAACTTATGGTAATTCCCTTGTGATGTCGTTCCCCAGACTAACATCCCATAACTTACTTTAGAATGGAAGAGTGCATAGTACATACTTATTTTTAACCTCAATGGGATTAAGTGCATTGTTCTAAAAAAACAACCAACTATTCGCGCTAATGCGGTGATCAGATGATTTACATGTGTGTTCCAGTTTAATTCCTCCTGAAACCATACACCAAGAAACTTTGGTTCCCTAACATGTGCGATGCAATTTCCTTCGAATTTTACAGCTATGTTACTAATAGGTTTGTTTATAGGTCGGAATATCATATAGGTTGTTTTTTTTTGCATTCAAGCGCAGTCCATTTTGCCTTAACCAATTTGAAAGATTGCTTAGATAATTATTTACACTGACCTCAAGTGATATTAGATTGTCTGATGAAAAGAAAGCATTCGTATCGTCAGCGTACATTAAAAGTTCAGGAGAATGAGGTATATCGACAATATCATTTATATAGGCAAGGAACAGTAATGGCCCCAGTATAGACCCTTGGGGGACTCCTTGGTTCAACTTTATCTTTGCAGAAATAGTGTTATTCAGTTTTACATATTGATAACGATCTTCTAGGTAACTCTTAAACAGTTGTAGTGCAACTCCACGCACCCCATAACTTGATAATTTATGAATCAATGATTTCAATTGTATGAAGTCAAATGCCTTTTGAAGATCGAGGAAGAGCCCAAGAGTATATTTTTTGTTTTCCATATTTTCGATTATCTTATCTTTGATATACAGTAGAGCTTGTTCTGTTGATTTATTTTTTTGAAAACCATACTGACTTTTTGTTATCATTTGGTGCTTATCAAAAAAGGATGCAAGTCTATCATAAATAACCCCTTCAAATATTTTTGATATTGTTGGAAGCACGGATATAGGTCGATAGTTCGCTAAAGTATTGATATCACCACCTTTATGTACTGCAGTGACTTTTGCTACTTTTAGCTGCTCTGGAAATACACCGTTAGTGAGGGTGAGGTTGATAATATAGGCCAAGACATTAGATATCAATGGTGACACCATTTTTAACTCAATAGAACCTATCTCATCAATCCCTGATGCAACATTGTTTTTAAGTTTTCTGATTAATCTTTCTACTTCAACCGGATCTGTGGGTGCGAGAAAAATAGAATACGGCAAAGGAGACTTATCAGGAGTTGGAGCATTATCTCGCTTTTCATCCGTTAAAATAAAGGAACCCGCATTTATGAAATGTTCATTCATGACATTGGCCAACCTTTCACCACTGTACGTTTAGATGAATGCCTCTCAAGTTTATTTATAATAAAATGCGGTGGGCTCACAAAAAACCTGGAACAGACTGACCTGCATTTTGTCAATGCGGCCAAATTGCGCACACAAATTTCGATTTCCGAGAAATTTTTACGGCAACCGTACAAACAGAAGAAACGGTTGAGTCTCCCAGACAATGCGGGAGACTTGGCAGGTATGTGAGATGATGATAACACCAATACATATTGTTCTCTCCTGGTGGCGGAATATCGAACAATGCCATTTTTATGGCCTTCGTGACTAGCTACGGCGATGCGCCGTAACCAATTGTGGAGGCTACGCTATTTTACTAATTGTATTTTTCTATCGGAAATTGGAAATTATATATTTTACGTTAAATTTCAGGCAAGATTCACAAAATCGTAAGTGCGGTCGAAATTTGTGCGTTTTATGGGGAAAACGGAAGAGTTGGCAGGCATGCTAACGTCCGATTCTTTTTTGTCGGTTATTGTTCTCTTCTTACGCTTTTTTACTGGATAATGATTCACTTGTTGTTGAATACTCATTGTATTGTTTTTTTAGTGACTGTATGCTTTATTATTCGCAATCAGTAAGTTAGATTTTACTGATTGATTATTCTGTTGATGTTTATGTACTTCCTTATTATTTTTGTAACAAGACAACATTTTGTAACTAATCTAACTGTTCATTGCACTGTAACCACTCCTGCCTTGGTGACCAGGGGGTTACTCGCAGTATTGAGTATATAAAAAACAAAACAAAATTAGAGTTTTCAGAGTGCACTCGATGAATCTAAAACTGATTGGTCAACTCTCTTTGCTGTACAATGGTGTAATGATAACATCCTAGCCAAAACCATATGGAAATTAATAGCAGAAATGTGCCATCTGAGAGTTGAAAAATGGTGAGTCATGCATCCCTAAAGAGAACAAAGTGAAGAATAACTCGCTCTTTTCTTTTTCTCGTGGCTTCAGCAAGAAGAATAACTAAATTCTCTAAAGAACATGTGACTTGTACGCAATTCTAGAACTCTGTGCAAGCATGCTATGCTGTTGAAGGGTACGTCAATGTGCCTGCATCCATAAATTCTATGTCATGCCTTACCTGGCTATGCCTGAGTGTAATGAGAACTGGCTGAGTAAGACCGAGAACTCTGCGTCTCCCCAGAGCAGCCGCCACCACTCTGGAGTTGACCAGGCGCACTGTGTTGTTTGACACGGCTTCTGTCGGATTGGAAGCCAAAAGAATGGATTCCATTTGGCGGTACGAGAAGAAGGCCACCTTCACCACACCTGCAGAGAACAATGTCCTCTAAGTGGCACAATGTGAAAACATAATCAGCCAAGGTCAAACAATCAATCAATTTTACTTCCTTTCAATAGAAGGAGCACGAGACTTTTTAGTCCCGTGCTCTGAACTTGACTTCGATTGTAGTTAGCTCTTGTTGGGAAGTCTAGCGGATTATTGTGTATATGCTTCTTTTTTATGTGAATTTTGTGTGTTGATATTTTGCTGCTTCGTCAGATAAATATATGTGTTTGCTGTGCCACCTCCGATTCCCATCTCGTTCTCAACACCACCCACTGCCAGTGCGCCTGAGATAATCATGACATCATTATTTTGCAGGAAGCAGAAATTAATCAGCAAATAGAACTGCAAGAGCTGTTTATCTGGAATTAATCAATTTTTAAGTATGACGTGTAAATGCTGAGTAGAAGTAGTGCTTAATATCCTTGAAGCAAATAAACACAGAAGGTCTGGCATTCGCAAATGTCATTTCATTTTTTCCACTGCTTTCATTGGCAGAGGAAGACTATTGGGTTTTGGTAGGCTTGTGTAAATAGTAAATTTTAGGTTCGAATCAACTTCGGAGGGAATAGTGATCTAGTAGAATAATTTCAGAGCTTATTCTAATGGTAGACATCACATATAACAAGAAACTGAACCTATTTGTTTTTTAAGTTGAAACAATGCATGTACTATCCACGTCCAATGAAACCTGAACAGCGGCAAGTCTTCGCGATGGTATAGTGCACGCCGTCCAGTTGTCGCCGTAGACAGGCACGTGCATCCTGTTCTGCAGATCTATGCACATAAGTGTCCCTAGCCAAAATCACCTATAGAAAAACCAATAGCCTATCGGATTATTGAACGTATTGGTCTATTGGTGTTCTATGGGTCTATAGGTGGCATTGTGGTCCATTAGACCTCTATTTGTCTATTGATGTAGTTGTCTATTGGTGCTCTATTAGCCTATTGCATTAATCCTGTATATGTCTATTGGCATTCTATTTGTCTATTAGTGCTGTATTTATGTATTGGAACTCTGTCGCAGCCTATTTCTCAGTTGAGAACTCTTGGCTTTAGAATAAAAATAATGGGCATTTGAGGACTGCAATATAGTAGTGCCTCTATAAAACGAAATAGATCCATTCGAAGTGAGGCCTGTGTTATATTTATAATTAGTAGCAGATAATTTCATCAAAACGGCAATTTTCCCCGAAACAAGCTTTCCAAGCATGCTGTTTTTCCTTGTCAAATGCACCACTTTACCAGCTAGTGCCTGAAAAGAAATACAGATATAAAATACCAGGAAAAAGGGGGAAACTTTTTTATAAGTGCTACTGAAAAAAATGACACATTAAAAAATGTAGAGCCACTATAATAGAAATTCTGGGGAGCTCGCAGCAGGTAACAGCTTCACACAGTGTGAATGGATATTTTGTAACATCTGTGCAGCAGATTTGATTATGCTTGTGTCCAAGAAACAAAACCTCCATCACATAGGTGGTCTTTGGATACTTGCGGGCAAGGTGAAACGGCACTAGCACATTATCTTACCCAGCGTCTGGGCTTCGGGAGTCACCCAAAAAGCTTCCCTAAATAAGCACTTCTCTACTGCAACCACGTCTGCTAAACAATGGGTTCAGTGAGCATGAATGCTAAATTAATTATGGGAGAGCCGCGCAGGATTCTTGTTGGCAATATGCTTAGCTTCTTCCCTATCCCCGAAGTGTACTGTAATGATTGAACGAAGACATTACATATTTTAGTCTCTTTGAATTACCACGAAAATAATGCGCTAGTCAATAACGTGCATTTATGCCAGAGTATGTATATGTGAACAGCCCACAGAATGTTTATAGGTGTTGTACTGTAGAGCGGAAACACCACTGGAACACATGAAGCAGTCAAATACTTTTAACGAGGATGCGCTTTGATGGCTGGCAAATACACGAATAAGAAACACAAGGAAAGCAACTTCTACTGACTAACAAATAAGCCCCGCTACGGTGGTCTAGTGGCTAAGGTGCTCGGCTGCTGACCCGCAGGTCGCGGGATCAAATCCCGGCTGTGGCGGCTGCATTTCCGATGGAGGCGGAAATGTTGTAGGCCCGTGTACTCAGATTTGGGTGCACGTTAAAGAACCCCAGGTGGTCAAAATTTCTGGAGCCCTCCACTATGGCGTCTCTCATAATCAAATAGTGGTTTTGGGACATTAAACCTCACAAATCAATCAATCAATGACTAACAAATATATAAAACAGTTCACTTACCTAACAGCCACAGGGTATGTGCTTGGAAGAAATCACTTAGGTGGACATTGTGTCAGCACATGTACCATTTATTGCTGTTTAAGTCCGAGATGCTGCTTTTAGCACTGTAACTCCTTTGCTGTTGATAACTAATGTAGCATTGTCACCACGATTCCATATGTGACAATTTAACTTTAAAACACCTTTAAATCTATACAAACACAGAGCACGATCACGCTGCCCAACACACTTGGCCGAAAACAGCTGAGGCTGGGGCTGGCTGTAGTCGGCTCGCATGCACGCCTGCTGGCTTGAGCACTTGTGTTGTGGTCATGCCACAAAAACAAGAGTTTGTTTTCTCACTTTCTATTGCAATATTTTTCTCTCGTCAAATATACTGAGCTACAGACACATCAAAAGATTATAAAAAGCATAGCAAACTGAATTGTCGGTGGCACAAATAAAAAGAAAATGCAAGACATACAGCGTCTTCTAGCGACATCATAGTCTATTTTTTTTTCCTTAAGCCTGTATCCAACTGAAGCCTCTTCCAAATGCTATACCTTTCCCTTTTAATTTGTACTGCGGTCTGAATAATAATTTCTATGCAACTATCTCACGCACCGGTGACATCAATTTCTCTTACCAGAGGGGGCATGAACTTGCAGGCCGCGGCAGCGAATGTGAACACATCGATGTTCACTTTTAAAGTGCTCGAACGAGCTCACCTACGTACGTACTACATACAGGGGCAACGGAAAGATAAACGAACAGCGCTGTTTGCATTTGTCTTCACCGTGCACTTAGCTTGGTCATGCTAGTCTCGTTATTATGCATCATGAATGACTTGTCTTTTTATTACCACCAAGGCTACAGGTGTCCAGAAGTAATGCGACCAGCGGAGCAGGGAAACGTATCGATCACCTTTTCTTTTTCTTTTTTATTTGAAAAACCGTTTTCACTCACCAGCTGAAATGGACAATGTATGGATTATAGGTATGGACATTCAAGCAGGCCGTGATAATTTCTACCATACACTTTTGAATTCGGTTATGTCGTTGATAGTAGTTGATTTCCCACCCCTTTTCCACTTTGAAGGAAAGCAGTACACTGCTGCCTCTACACGAACACCATGACCCTCTGCTGAAACATTAACTGCAGTCATGTTCTTTTTTCAACCCTATGATAACTTTCCTTTCTAAACACCTATTTTGTGGGCTTAATAATATAGCCCACAAAGATTATAATCATAATCTTGAGCGTGAAATGAAATTACTCAAATTTACTATGTAGTGACGTGCCCGGGTAGCGCGGACGCCACTAGCCGAGCCAAAAGTGGGCGTGAAGCCCGCGAATAACGACCCGACAACGCGTCGTTCACAAACAGTAAAAAGCCCCGTTTAATGCCCAACGATGCCTTTTATACAGAGTGGGGGCGCCACCTCCGAGTTGCTAGAAGCAACAGGTGGCGTCCTCTACATCCCTCCTTCCGGAGCTCTCAAACACAAGTGTTCCAAAAGAGCACCACCAAGAAACAGTCCTTGCAGCAGTCTCACAAATTCAGTCTCCGAGGTGGCACCACGCGCCGGCCGTATCGTGTGTAATGGTGACCTGGCGATCCTGCAGCAGGTGCAGGAGCTGGAGTGTCCGATGCGTTACTGGTTGCTGCCCGCTGTGGTCCGGGAAACGGCGCCGATGTCGGGGCCGCAGGGTTGGGGATTCCCGTCTCATCTGAGGTGGCCGACTGAGGATTGCTGCAGGGGACAAGGTGTCTGCGGTTTCTCACTAGTATGCCACTGGGCGTCTGGACGATGTACGAGCGGGGTCTCTGAGCCGGGCTTAGGACCGTCGCCCTTGCCCACGTGTCACGCACCCAGACTTCCTCCCCATCGTCGAGAGCACGAAGGTCATGCGCTGCGTGTCGGTTATTGTAGTCTCTCTGTTGTCTTCGTCTCTGGGCGGCATCTCTGTCATTGAATTCTTTCACCTGGGGCCAATCTGGAACAAGGCTTTGAGCCGTGGCTGGCACACGAGTTCGCAGAGAGCGTCCCATGAGCAGTTGGGCCGGGCTGTAGCCAGACACACCGGGAGTGTTACGGTATGCTAGCAGAGCCAGAAACGGGTCTGTGGCCTTCAGAAACAACTCCTTGATCGTGCGAACCATGCGCTCTGCTTCGCCGTTCGACTGCGGGTAGCGTGGACTGCTCGTGACATGCGTGAAACCGTATGTCTTCCCAAAGTCCTCAAAAGCTTTGCAGGAAAACTGTGGCCCATTGTCGCTGACAACAGTCACCGGGATGCCGTGTCGGGCAAATGTGCTCTTGATCGCAGAAATAACGGCTCCCGCAGAAGTGGACCGGAGTGTGAGGACCTCAGGGTACTGAGAACGGTAGTCGACAACCACCAGGAACTCTTGATTAGCAAAATGAAATAAGTCAATAGCCACCCTTTCCCACGGAGCTGATGGTATCTCGGTCGCAATCATGGGCTCACAGCGTTGAACGCGTATAGAAGCACATGCTGGGCAGTTCTCTACGGCTGCTTTAACTTGGCTGTTGAGACCGGGCCACCACACAGAGCCTCGGGCCACCGCCAAGCACCGATTGACGCCTTGGTGACCATCATGCAGCAGGTTCATGATGTCTCTGCGTAGTGCTGCGGACACAACTAGGCGTCCGCCCATGAACAGCATGTTCTCGCATACAGTGAAGTCTCCCCGGTGGTCCCAGTAACGCGTCATGTTGAGCGGCAGACGG